TTTCGTCATGTTGTTGCTCCTATTGTCGTGCCTCGACTTCATTGACCGTCAACACTCATCATCAAAGCGTCGGATGGAGACCGATGTCATGAAGCTGTAGGTTCACCGATGTCGCAGGGCTTGGGCCCCCAACGTCCGATCTTCTTCAGGAAGCCGAATATGCAAGTGGCTGACCACGAGTTACCTCATCCCTTTCACTTTACCCGTTACCCCTCCAGGATGACATCTAATTTCGAAGTTGAGCTCGTCAACGATTCTGTTCGAGAGTTCCAGGTTACGTTCCACGGACCGGCAGATAGTGAGTCGAGAACGGGTCCCGTGCCGAATGGGGCTTCATTGCCCCTTTGCTTATCTCGTGTGGCTAACGGTGATCTCCGCGCAGCTTTGTATGTTGGAGGCGTTTGGAAGATACATGTAGAGCTGCCGGAACAGTATCCCTACAAGAGCCCCAGTATTGGATTCATGAACAAGATTCTGCACCCCAATATCGACGAAATGTGAGCTGCCCTCGACCTCCGACGGCCCTCATGACTGACTCGTGGTCACCACGTAGGAGTGGATCTGTTTGTTTGGATGTCATAAATCAGACGTGGTCACCCATGTTTGGTGAGTTGCTCTCGTCACATGCTATGGCGTGGATCTGATCCTGTATTACGACAGATATGGTCAATATCTTTGAAGTATTTCTTCCTCAGCTACTAGCCTATCCCAATGTTTCGGACCCATTGAATGCAGACGCCGCACACCTCATGCAGCGAGAACCAAAGACATATGAAGCAAAGGTGAAAGGTACGATAGCAGCTCAGCTCAAAAGCAGATATCTAAAATACGCGACTAGAATATGTCCAAAAGTATGCCAAGCGTGATCAAAGCTCGAGTACCTCAAGCGAAGCGTCTCCTGAGAAAAAGGAGGCAGCCGAGGATGACGAGGACGAAGACCACGAGATGAGTGACGTGAGTCTGAGTGACGAAGACGCTTAACGAATGGAATATCAAGTAACGGCTTCGGGTTCATGGATCTATATTTGTTGGGCTATCGGAAATCTACTAGCCAAGGCGGCTTCATCGTATTGTTCTCCTGTAATCTTGTAATAGTCAATTCATTTCCCCTTTGGGCACGACCTGACCTCTTTTCTGACATGTTAAGTCATCAAAAGCCTGCAGACTAATCGTTTGACCAGAGGGAGTGTGCAAAAGAGGGTATAGAGCACTACATAACGTGAACAACTAACACCAATATCCTTGTATTCATTGAGAGTTAGTTGTTCATAGTCTGGTAAGACGTTTTCAATAAAGTTGTATAAAGAATAGCATGAAATATTCTAAGGGCCCTCCGGGCGATCCTGACCTTTTCGTTAGCCCAATAATCGACGCTGTATGAAGTATCGTGTCGAC